GGGCGAGGCGTCTGCGCCGCCAGGCGCCGTCGCGGCCGCCGCCGCCGCGCGGTCGCCGCCGGTTGCCGCCCGCCGCGCGCCGCCGCCGGGCGCGCCGCCGCCGAGCCGCCGCCGCCGGGCGCCGTGCCGCGCGGCGCCGGGCGCCGCCGCGGGCCGCGGGCCAGGTGGTTGTGACGTAGGAGGTCTGAATCCTCCCCCACCTGGCCCAATGCGCGCCCGCGGCGGCCACGCCGCAGCGTCCGCGGCGTGGGGTGCAGCTCCAGCAGCCGCGGCAGCGCCAGGGGGCCGGGCCGCGGGTCGCGCCCGGTCAGCGGTCAGCAGCCAGCGCAGGCGCGCTTACGCGCGCCGCGCGCGCCGCGCGCGCCGCGCTGGCGGCGCGCCGGGGTTCGCGGCAGGCGTCCGCCGCGCCGCGCCGCCCCGCGGCAGCACGGCAGTCCGCCAGGCTTCGGCGCTGCCCCGCTGCAGCGCGGCAGAGAGGCTTTGCCGCGCGGCCGCGAGGACTTGTGGGTCCCCGGCAGACCAAGTGCGCAGCAGGGCCTGCGCCTCCTTCCCAGGCCGGCCCTGCGTCTCGAGTGCGAAGGCGAGGAGCGCGGGTCCTGGGTAGCGCTGGTGCTTGCGCTCTTCGGCCGCTGCGGCCGCGGCGCCGTCCCTGGTCGCGCGGCTGCGGCCCGCGCCCGTGCCAGCCCCGAGCGCAGCGTCGGTGACCGTGACGTCGACGTACTGCCGCCCAGCGACAGGATCGACGTAGGTCACGTCCAAGCGCGCGGCTTCCACGCTGCCGTCTGGGCGGGCGCGGTCCCAGGCGGGCACGGCCTGCTCGGTGTCCACGCCCGCGGCGCCCTGCTCAGCCAGCCAGCCGGCCAGCCAGTCGCGCACGCCGTCGTGCTTCTCGATGGCCAGGCCGCCCGCGGGGCAGCCTACCGCGTGGCCGGGGTCCGCGCGCAGGTCGCAGCCGCAGACCGTGCCGTCGCTCCTCCGCCGCAGGCAGGTGGGGCTGGCTCCCTCGGGCAGTGGCAAGCGCAGCCGGAGGGCGAGCGCTGGTTGCAGGTGCTCGTCAGCCAGGAGGTGGTCTTGCCGCGTCGGGGGCAAGAGGAAGGCGCCCGCGCCTTTGCCGCCCGCGGAGCGGAGGCTGGCGGCTTCGCTCGCCGGCAAGGAGGCCAGCAGGCGGGCGCGTCGCTGCTGCTGCGCCGGCTGAGTCAAACGCTTCTGCGCCTTCTCCCGGCGCTCGGCTGCGGCGTAGACCCCGGCAGTGGCGCTCGTCCCAGCCAGCCGCCCCGCTTGCTCGGCCGTCGCCCACGTCTGAGGGCAGGCGGCGGCAAAGGCCTGGAGGCTGGGCTCGCCGAGCTCGCGGCGCACCTCCGCCAAGCACGCCTGCCAGGAGCCCACGAACGCGGGCAGACGTCGCTCCTCCAAGCTGTGCAGGCCAAGCCCGCTGCCCGCCAAGGGCAGGAAGGCCACCTCGCGCGCAGTCGCGGTGAGCGGCTGCCCCAGCGCACCCTGAGCGTGCTCCAAGACTCTGTCGTCGTAGGCGCGGGCCCAGGCCTCGTCGAGCAGGTGCGCGCGCGCGTGGTGGAGGGCCGCGCCGTTGACGAACGCGCGCAGGAGCACGAGCTCGTCCTGCAGCCGGAGGCCGTGCCCGCGCAGGTGTTCCAGCTTCGCCAGGAATGCGCGCAAGTGGCCCGCCGCCGACTCGGGCGCGGCCGCCGTGCCAAAGCTCGTCCGCCCGGGATCCTGGCCGAGGTCGTCTTCCGCCGCCCCGCCGCAGACGAACGGCAAGCGGCTGCCTACGCACTTGAGCTCGGCCACCGCCGCGGTCGCGAGACCTGGCGGGAGCTGCGGCCCGCGCGGGTTCCACGCCTTGGTCTTGTCGGCGTTGAGGCGGAGGCCGCGCGCTGCGAAGAGAGCCGGGGCGTCGGCGAGGGCCGCGGCGAGTGCTTGCGGCGCGCCGACGACAAACACGTCATCGAGGTAGGCCTTGATGTTTGGGTCGTGCTGGAAGGCGGCCGCCGCCAGCTCCTCGTAGAGCCTCGCCGTGGCTGTGGCGTAGAAAGCCGGGGACAGGGGGCAGCCCTGGTCCAGGCCGCGTTCCGCTGTCACCTCCGCTGCCGGGCCGCCCGCGTGAGCGCCGTGCGTGGTGCCCCCGCCGTGCCAAGCCGAGGCGAGGCGCGAGAGGGGCGGCAGGCGCCGGGTGACTTCCCGGAGCACGACATCCCAGTCGATCTCGTTGAAGGCGTTGGCCACGTCGAGTGACAGCACTGCGCTGTTCTGGGCCTTCTCCACAGAGCAGTTCACCAGCTTGTGCATGACCTCCACGCCGTTGCGCCGGCCAACCCCGTACTGGTGCGGCCCCACCGCCTGGGCGATGAGCTCTTTGTGTTTCTTTGTCGCTGCCTTCGCCGCCATGCGTCGGAGCGTCTCTCCGCAGGCGAGAGGCCGCACCCCGCCGCCTGGTTTCTGGAGCGGGATTAGGCGGCCGCCCAGCAGCGCCGTTGAGGCAGCCGGCGGCGCCTCGCCACGCATGATGAAGGCGAGCACCTGCACCAGCGCCTCCTTCCCGTCGGTGTTCCCGCGGAGCGTCGCCCAGTGCTCAAAGCGGGCACCCGTGAGGCCCGGCCCCGAATGCCGCGGGAACTTGTTCAAGTGCCCGGCGGCCTCCTCCGCAGCCTCGGCCTCCCAAGCCTCCTCTGGGTGTTGCGGCGGAGGCGGCGCTCGCGGGGCTCCGGCTTCTGGGAAAAGGCTGGCCAGGCGGGCGCGCGCCTCCGCCCCGACAGCCAGCTTCCCTGGGCCGCTCGCGGCCGCGGCGGCCCGAGACACCTCCCCAAGCATGATGAGTTCGTGCACCCGCTTGGACTGGGTTGCGGCGCCCGGCGGCCGCCGGCCGCCGTCGCCACTGTCGCCGGGGCGCGCTGTGGCCGCCCAGAGCCCCACCCAATCACCCGCCCATGCTTGCCGGATTCTGGCGGTGATCACTCCCAGGGCGGTGGGTCGATCGGCGTGCCGGTCATCGCCAGCAGGAGGGATGGCGAAGAGCATGCGCGGTAGGAGCAGCAAGCGCGCCCAGGCCGCCTCTCGGGCTGGGTCTGTGGCCACCGCCTTCAGCGCCGCGGCCATCAGCTCGCCAACGGCCACGGTGAGGCTGTCTGGGACGGCCGCCCATGTGGGCACGGGCTCGCGGAGGGCGCCCTGGAGGTCGAAGGTGTCCCACCACGTCAGGCCTGGGAGGTTTCCGGCCTCGGCGGCGACCGCGTGCCGGGGCTCCGGGTCCCCCGAAGGTGCGTCGGCGGCGCTTGGCTGCGGCGTTGTGGCGTCCACCACGCACGCGAGGACCTCCGCGCGCGCCTCCTCGGGCAGCGCGGCCAGACCCTCGACCGCGCCTGCCGGGATGCCTCCAGGGATGCAGGCAGGATGTCGGAAGTAGCGGTCCGGGTTGGCGCGGCTCGCCAGCCGCACCTCCTTGTGACCGAAGCCTTGACAACAAACATAACACATTGCAACATGTTTCCGAACAGGCTGCAGAGTCGCCGTCCAGGTACTCACCCTGGGGCGGCGCGCGGCGCGGGGCGGCCGGGCGGCAGCGGCGGCGGGCGGTGCAGCGGCAGCCCCTGCGGCGCCCCCCGAAGCAGCAGCGGCGCCAGGTGCGCCGCCAAGATGAGCTGCTCCGGAAGGCGCGGCACCAGCCGCCCCACGCAAGTTCTCCACGCCCCTGACGATGTCCGACATCACCTCGTCCTCATCCTGCATCTCCTCATCCTCGTCCGCCGCAGCGCCCGAGCCCACGTTCACATCGTTCTCCATCTCGTCGAAGAAGTTCCTGAAATTTCCTCCTCCTCCTCCTCCTCGCCGGTCGCGGGGGGGTGCCGCCCCCGCGGGCGTGCTGCAGCGGCGGCCGGCATTGCCGACCCGCCGCGGCGCGCAAGCCCGGCCCCCAGGGCGGCCGAGCGCAGCCCGCGACCCGATCGGCGCGATCGGAGCGCGGCAGATGACGATCGCACGGGGGGGGGGGGGGGGGTAAGGGTGCCGAGCGGAAAAAAGTACAAAGAAGGAGAAGAAGAAGAGAAGCAGAAGGGAATAATCCCAGCCCATTACACGTAACAAACTACACACTTACGCATAAGGGCAGAGGCGAAGAAGCAGAGCAGAACGACGAAGAAGAGAACAAAGAAGAAGAAGGAAACAAGGACAGGAAAGAAAGAAAAAGACGAATAAAGAAAGAAATGACAATGGGACGACAAAGAAGAAAAACGGAAGGAAAGGAAAGAAAGATAAAAGACGAGTGATTGAGATGAGGAAGAAGAGAAAAGGGAAAGACAAAGAAAGAAGAAGAACGAAGGGGAAGAAGACAAACACATGATCTCGAATCAAGAAGAAACACAAGGCTAGACCACACCTTACACTACACCCTAACCTACGCCGCAACGCATCAGACGCATGCATGCCTCTCCGCCCTCCCTGCTCCGCCCTACCCCCTCCCCCTCCTCCTTTCCTCCCCTCCTCCTCCTCCTTCTTCCTCCTCCTCCCCTCCTCCTTCCTACATCCTCCCTTCCTCCTCCCCACTACTCTCCTCTCCCCCTCTCTCGTTCCCCTCCTCCTTACCTCCTGCCTTCATCCTCTTAAACATCCTTCTATCCTCCTCCTCCTCCTCCTCCTCCTCCTCCTCCTCCTCCTCCCCCTGCCCTCGCCTCGTTGCCGCCTCTCTGGCCCTCCCAGGAGGCACTCGCCGCCACGGCCAGAGGCGCCCCTCGGCATCCCTTGTCAGAGCGCACCCAGGGGAAGGTCCCGCTGAGCGGCGGCGTCGGCATCGTCCCAGACACGATCGCGTCGTCAAAAAATTCAGGGCGGAGGTTTTCCATTGCTTTCGGCCCCTAGAGGCCCTCGCCGGGCCCCAGGGCCGTCAAAGAACGACTCGGGATGAAACGCCGGCCCCGGGGAAAGGGTCTGGACTTCTGGGGACGCCGTCGTGAAGAAGTCAGGACGTCGCATGTCTGGGTTTTGGCCTCCCCGAGGAAGTCCCGCCTGCAGCGCTTCCGGCAGGCGGGTCGGGGGCAGGGGCCTGCGTCGAAGACCCAGGTTCTCCTGAGATCCTGGCGTCGCATTGTTGTTCATTCCGAGCCTTTTCTCCCAGTTTCGGCCCCTGGGCCGGCTCGAAAAATACAGAAAAAAAGACGGGGTACGGGGCTCTCGGTGCCATTGTTCGCGATGGTGCAACTGTCTCGCAACGCCGGATCTCGGGGGCGTCGAGGACCCAGGGTGTCTGAGCGTTCTCGATGCATGTGGAGGCCTCCAGCGAGGCTTCTGGTGACTTCTGGAGCCTCGGGGGACCTGTCTAGGGGCGACAGCCAGCCGATGGCAGACCCTTGCAATGACCATCAGCCCGGCCTCCCGCTCCAAGCGCACTCGGATTTGATGCATGCGCGATTGCTCAGCTTGCACTGAAGGCTGGACAACAGAGCACGCGCGCAGAAGCCGAATAGAACAGATGATTGATTCAGGGGCGTGTCGCCAAGTGCTTCAGATGGATTCTCTCGCTAGGCGAGAGATAGAGAGAGAGGGAGAGAGTGAGAGAGAGAGAGAGGTCGTGCCCCATGGATCGAGTCATCCCCCTCACCCTAGATCCCCGACGCCACGATTCTTTCATGACGTCAACCCCCAGAGGTCTGGATCCCTTCCGGGGGACAAGCTCCCGAGTCGTCGTGGGACGTTCCCGAGGCCCTGTAAGGGGGCTCCCGCACGCCAAAAGTAACGAAAAGCCTTCCGTCATGCTTCGTTCCCGACGCGAGGGGGTCAGGGGCTCGTGCATACGCGGGAGGAGGGAGAGGGTGACAGGGCATGGGCTGGTGGGTGCTGTGAGCGTCTCTGCAGGCGAATCCCGGCGAGCTCTTCCCCTGGGCGCCCCTGCGCGCCCTGGGCTACACGTCGGCGGGAGGCTCGAACATCAAGCTGGATCCTGAGACCGGAAGGCCGTTGAGTTCGTTGTTCAAGGCTCGACGACACGCAAGAGTGGCCTTTCGCCGGAGTGACTTTTGGTGCGGGCCCAATGGAGTCCACCGATCGCCGAACGTGATGTGGTAGCAGCGTCTTGCGCGCTCGGGTTCGGCCCCCCCGCGGCCCTCAAGAAGCCGCGCACCAAAAGGCCGCTCTTACCCAGGGGCACTCTTGCGTGCAGCCGAAAGGTTGGGTTTGGTGAGCCTTTCTCCAACGTCTACGACAGGAAGATCGTTCTCATGGATGAAGTGCGCTGGGCCTCCCAAAAGAGCTCCGAGCAGAGGGGTTCGGAGGATCGCGCCGCATCGCCTATGCGTCAGCGATGCGGAGCTCGATCTTCCATACGCTGGAGTCGCCGACGCAGCGCCGACGTCTCTGATGCATCGCCGACGCATCGGCGATGCATCGAAGGTGCAGCGCGATCCTCCGATCGCGTCTGCTCGGACCCCGCTAGGGAGGCCTCCAGGTGCACAACCTCATCCGCGCCAGGACACAGTTCGCCGCACAGCTGGAGGTGCTCAGGGCCAGGCTCGCCGCGGCGGAGGACTGCGTCATCGTGGGGTTCACGGCCACGCCCATCCCGGACCACCCCTCGGAGGGCCGGCTGTTGCTCGACACCTTCAAGGGCGACGCCAACGTGGGCCGCACCGACGAGGGCTTCGTCAGCTCAGGGCCCCCCAAACGGTGACACTGACAGACCAGGGCCCAGACTTTTTGATCCGCGGGGCGAGAGTGCACCTCTTTCGGTCGAAGCTAAGCGGGCCGCGCACAGCTTTAATTAACAGAGGGGGGGGGCAAAAGAAGGCGGGGCCTCACGTCAAGACCAAGAGAGGGCAAAGCCCTGGGATCAGGCGGTGCCGAAATCGAAGTGCAAGAAAAGGTACGCTTTGCACAGGAAGCCAGGGCCCAGACATGCGACGTCCTGACTTTTTCACGACGGCGCCCCCGGAAGTCCAGACCCTTTCCCCGGGGCCCGGTGTTTCCTCCCGAGAGTCGTTTTCTTGACGGCCCCGGGACCCAGCGAGGGCCTCTAGGGGCCGAAGACGGCGAAAAACCGCCGTTTTGAATTTGTCACGACGCGAGCATGTCTGGGGGAGGGTGGGCTCCTGTCCAAGGCGTACCTTTTCCTGCACTTCGACTTCGGCACCGCCTGATCCCAGGGCTTTGCCCTCTCTCGGCCTTGACGTGAGGCCCCGCCTTTAGTTGCCCCCCTCTGCTAATCAAAGCTGTGCGCGGCCCGCTTAGTTTCTATCGGAAGAGGCTCGCTCTCGACCCGCAGATAAATATTTTGTTCCCAAAAAACACCCCAACAAAAAAAAAAAAAAAAAAAAAAAAAAAAAAAAATGCCTGGGAGAGGGGCCCTGCTGCAGCTCAAGCCGCCCCGAGGCGACCCACGGGAGAGGGGGGCGACAGCCCGCGTTGAGGCCCCAGCGGGCCTCGCAGCTCGTGGCCGGAGACGTCGGGCCGCCGCCGCCACTTGGCTGGCGCGCTTCGCAGCCGCCAGCCCAGGCGTGCGACGTCCTGGCTTTGTCGACACGCCGTCCCCGGAGGTCCAGACCCCCAAAGATCCAACGCATTGAAAAAATCAAGACGGAGGTTTTGTAAGATTTTCGGCCTCTAGAGGCCCTCGCCGGGCTTCGGGACCGGCCAAAAACGATTCGGGATGAAAAACCGACCCTGGGGAAAGGGTCGGGACTTCCCGGGACCCCGTATAGAAAAAAACACGACATCGGATCTCCGGGCCTTTCCCCCGGGGCCGGCTCTGCATCCGGAGTAGTTTTGTGGCGGTCTAGGAGCCGGGCGAGGGCCTCTCGGCGTCGAAGACGGCGAAGGAATTCCTCCGTCCTGAACGTTTCACGGCGCGATATCCTCTTTGGGACTGGGCCCCGCGGCCGCCCGAGCGCGAAGTGCAGGAGGCCTCCGTCCGCCAAGAGACCTCCTCCGGCCCGGGACTCTCCGCAGAACCCGTCCGTGGGCGAGGAGAATATATATATATATATATATATATATATATATACACATACATGCATGCATGCATGCATGCATGCATGCATACATACATACATACATACATACATACATGCATACATACATACATACATACATGTGTGTATGTATATTATAACTATAAATACAAATATATAACAATAATATATTTATATACAAAAAAGAAGGAAGAAGAAAAAAAAGAAAAAAAACGCCTGCGAGCCCGCGGCCGCGCAGGGCGCGCGCGCCCCGCGGGCTGCGGCCCCGCGGGCGCGCGATGCGCGCCTTCCGCGGAGGCCCCGCGCGGAGCGCGGCCCGGCGACGGCGCATCGGCGGGATCGCGCCCCGGGCGTGGATGTGGGCCCAGACATGATCGCGTCGTATAAAGAATTCAGGACGGAGGCTTTTCGCTATCTTAGGCCTCCCGAGGGCCTCGCCGGGCCCTGGGACTGTCAAAGAACGACTCAGGATGAAAAACCGGCCCCAGGGGAAGGGTCTGGTTTTCCGGGGACGCCGCCCCGGGCGTGGATATGGATACGGTAGGTCCGTGTCGTGTCGACCGGCGGCGACCCCGCCGACGGCGTTCAACGTTGAACGCCGCGGGCGACCCAGAATCGTTCGATGTGGAACGATTTGGACGTTTCGGACACGGCCGATCGTTCAAGGTTGAACGATACCCGCGGTGTCAGAAACCAATGCCGAAGTCGGCACGACGCGAACCTGTCGTACCCTGAGATCCCACGCAGCGAAAAAATGGCACCATCCTGAAAGTCCACGCCCGCAGCCCCAGGCCCCAGCTTCCTGCGTCGTGTCTCGAGCCGGACCGATCTGTGAGCGCCCTGGGGCCTGGGAAGAGGCGAAGACGCCCGGCTCGGAAAAGTTGAGACGCCAAGATCTCAGGGCAGTGGGACTTGGCGGTTCCGGAGGAGCCAGATGGGGCGCCGCGGCTGCACCCGGGCGCTCCGGAACGTTCTGAGCGCGCTCTGGAACCCCGGGGTCCGACGTCTCAAAACTGGCAACATCTCGAAAATCATGACCGGAGCCCTGGACCCCATCCCTCTGCAACGCTCTCCGAGCCGGGTCGAGCTGTGAGGGCCCTGGGGCCCGAAACGGGGCGAAAACGGCCAGCGTGAAGAATTTTGCAGCGGCTGGCTCTCAAGGGACGTTCCGGGCTGGAGCTCCGAGCCGGGTCGAGCTGTGAGGGTCCTGGGGCCCGAAACGGGGCGAGAACGGCCAGCGTGAAGAATTTTGCAGCGGCTGGCTCTCAAGGAGCGCTCCGGGCTGGAGCGATCTGTCCCGGTGCTGGCCCCGAGGTCCGACGTCGCGAAGACGCCCGGCTCGGAAAAGCGGAGGCGCCAAGACCTCAGGATGCGTCCGCCGCTCGTGAGCCAGGGCGTTGGCGAGCCCCAGAGAGCTCCCCCTCCCCCTCCTCCTCCTCCTCCTCCTCCTCCTCCTCCTCCTCCTCCTCCTCCTCCTCCTCCTTCTCCTTGTCCTCCCCCTCCTCCTCCTCCCTACTCCTCCCTCCCCATCCCTCCTCTCCCCCTCCTCCTCCTCCCCCTCCTCCCCCACCTCCCTCCTGCTCCTCTCCTCCTCCATTCCTCCTCTCTCCTCCCTCCTCCTCCGGCTCCTTCATCTCATCTCCCTTGCCTCTCCTCCTCCTCCTCCTCCTCCTTGTCCTCCCCCTCCTCCAGAGAACTGCAGCCGCGGGGCGAGGCGTCCTCCGTCCTCCGTTCTCTCTCCGGGTGCTGGGCATCGCTCGGGCGCGTGTGCCGCTTCTCTCGGCCGGGGCCCTCGAGGAGCACTCGTTGGGGCCATCTTGCGCAACAGGCACGCGCGGGGAGAGGACGCCCGAGCGCTGGCCAGAGTGGGTTTTTTTTTCCCCCAACAACAACAGCAGCAGCAGCAGCAATGCCAACAACGACAATGACAACGACAACGACAACGACGACGACGACGACGACGACGACGACGACGACGACGACGACGACGACGACGACGACGACGACGACGACAACAACAACAACAACAACAACAACAATCATTTTATGACTGTTCGCCCTTATATGCTCGAGTGTCCAATAACGCGTATTTCCCAAACCCTCGATGCCCGCCCTCTTCGTTTTCGATCGAACCCCTTTTGGGGGGTATATCTTTCTTCCCTGCAGGCCGGGCCCCGGCAAGCGGCGGGGCGGCCGCGGACCGTCGGCCTGGCCAGCGGCAGCGCTGATCGGCGGGGCGGCCGCGGACGGTTCGTGGGGACCCCCAAGAGTGACGACACGGACGACCACGACGTCGGACCGACGACGAGACGACGACGAGACTGACGGACGTCGAAGGACCGACGGCGACGTCGGCGCAGAACGACGCAAAGAGAGAGCGAGAGAGAGAACGACTGCAGGACCACGAAGGGCACGAAGTAGGCCACGAAGGGCGACAGCGGGGACACGAAGGGAATGCGTATGGGGCCACGAAGAGTGCGAACGAGCGGGGGCCACGAAGTGCAGATAATGCGGGGCCACAGAAGGCAACTATGGGGCCACTGAGGGTAGCAACTGGGCCACGTAAGACAATGAGGGGGACACAAATGGCGACAGTGGGGCCACGAAGGGCATGCACATGGGGCCACAACGGGCGCGACTCCTGGGTGCCTGGGTGTCGGGAGCGCGGCGCTTGGGCGAATTGCAAGGAATTCCACGGCAAGGCTATTCTTCAGTAAATTACAAGCAAGTTTCCAGCGAGAGCGCGACTCCAGAGCTCCGGGAGAGCGATTCCTTAATAAATTGCAAAGAAGTCCCAAGCGAGAGCGCGATTCCTGAATAAGATGCGAGGAAGTCTCGGGCGGGAGCGGGGGTCCTGCCTTTCTTGTACGGAAGTCTAAAGCGGGAGCCGTTGTTGTTGTAACCCAGGGGCCAGGGGGCTAGTTTGAGCAGGAAGACTTTCCTTGGCAAAAAACAGGGTGCGAGCGTCGAGGGGCACACTTTGATTGAGAAAAAACAGTATGCACCGGTGGGGGGACCGACAATAATGATCTTCAGAAATGAGAATTCAACAACAACAACAACAACAACAACAATCATTTTACCCGAACGCTCAGTGTTCTCCCCAGTGCCAGGGTTTTCTTGCGACACCAGCCAATACCCCCACTTCGTGGGGGGGCCGTTCAAGCTCTACCAAATATCCAAAAGACTCTTCGAGACCACCCACACCCAGCTTCCCGCCCTATGACGTTGGGACACTTCACTTCGTGGCGTGCGGACGACCCTGGCTACTACACTGGCGTGGGGTACACACCCACAGAGGTTGATCACATCTGTAACATATGATGTGGTACACGGTACACGTGAGATGGTACGCAGTGCCAAGATAGTTGGTCACATTTTTGGGGCAAATTCGTGGGGATTCGATTACAGAAGTACATGTGTTACACTGATGTTATACAGTCCCAAGGATGACGCATGCATTGCTCATAGACTCATGGCGCTATGATCCTAACTCTCAGTGCCCAACGCGCGCGTGCACAGCCAGACGGAGGGAGAGAAAAACATGTATACAAGGTTCGTGACATACGCACGGTCCACCATGTTGTAAACGATCGCATGCACGGTAAGTTCTGAAATTATACGTATGTACAAGCAGACATGCGAGGGAGAAAGGGAGATGGCCTTCGACAGTTCCAATACGGCTCCAAGGCGGAAGAG